TACCTTTCCAAGGAGTTTCTACTCTTCCCAGGACTGTGGAGTCCCTAAAGCCCAATTAGCTGAGGCTTTCCCAGTAATTTAGAAGCATACAATTAGACTCTTTTTTGCCTCCATTCTGGCTGCTGCTGTGTTTCTGGGACTCTAAAACCAGAGAGATGTCTGGCTCTGCTTCCTGAGGACTGTCTCCAGCCACCCCTCCAACCCAAGGTGCACAGCCAGTTCTTGAATTATCTGACCTGGGTTGGGGACATACACAGAGCACTCAGGACACTGATGAAGCCCAAATCTAGCCCCTGCACCCTTCTAAATTCAAAATTAACCCAGGATTCAGGTGATAAACTTGCTCACCACCACCCCAAGCCTCTCCTAGGTCTGAGCTGTCTTCCATCTCCTCAGGCAGATGGTGTTCAGGGAAACAATGGCTCACCCTCCGGGGTCGGCGCCTTAGGTCCGGCTGAGCAGGGGAAGCATGCCCTGCAACCTAGCACTGAATAAAGTGGCTGGAAGCATCATCAATAAAATGGCAGCACATCTGCACATTTCCCTCATCGATTTCCCTCTCCCATCTGCTTAGGCTGCCCAGGTCAGCCCAAACCCTCCATCCCCAACAGGCAAACACAAACACAACTAACCCTAGAGAGATTCTTCTTCTCAACCACCAGCCTCCACCCCTTCCATGAGGTCTTGCTCTCCAAGTGGCACTGGCCACCTCTCTCTCAGCCTATGCCGACAGCTGCCGCTGCTGCCCATTCAGGATCATCCCTCTGCTGCGTCTTGGCTCCTGGGACTCCAGCCCTGCCCGCTACAGTGGACAAAGCCAACCTAGTGCTGAAGACTATGGGCCCACCTAGTAACCCCTAAGTTCCCCCCTCCTTTACACCCTGCAATACTTTTCAGGGAATTAAACTCCGAGTCTGAGGCACTACTGGAAAGCCTTTAAATGGTTTCAGTTCTAAAAGAGAAACAAAGGAAGAGAAAGGTTGAGGGTCCTGTCCATGAGCCAGGGTCTCCTTGCCTAACCTTTGTCTCTCCCAGCTATAACTCATTGTAGGTATGAACAATCAGCGGAAATACCTTAAAATAAATTCCATCCTCCTGGTGTGGCCTCCAGTCTCATCGGCTGGCTAGCTCGCCCAGAACTGCTCCATGAGTGCTGAAAACTGCAACCCGCTCTTAAGAGTGCTCTCCGGAGAAGGGGAAGGAGAAGGAGGAGGTGGATGTGTGGGGGTGGGGGAAAAAGCTCTCGCTCTGTAGAGAATCTAGAAAACGTAATCACAGGCGAAGACTGCCTGGGTCTCCGCTCCAAATGCCACAATAATGCGCTGTATTATGTGCTCACGTGGTCATACGTCAACTTAAATCCTTTTATTTGAAATAGGGAATCACTAAAGGAACCAGGTTTCCAAGCAGAACATTTGGCTTTGTGGGAAGGGAAGTGGGGGACTCTGTCCAGGAGTCTGTGAGAGTTTTGAGTAGTAGGATGCTGGGGGCAACACCCCCCCCCTCACACACATATTCATGCCACACAAGGATGCTTATATTTTTTTACATGCACACCAAAACACAAGGAGACAGTAATGCTGCCTATTTTATACTCTACAGTACTTAACTTTGTCATCCATAGCTTCTCATCCATGGACAAGCTGAATCCAGCACACCCAAGTTCCCTAGCTGCCTCTGGCTCAGAGGCCAGAGTGTCAAAAGGCAAGAGCCAAGCCCACAAATGACTGGTCTGGTCAGTAGACTTCCTCATAGCCTGCCATCGTATGGAATTAGCTAACACCCATGCAATACACCATAGCCACCGGAGAAACCAAAAAGGCCTATAATAACCTGACAAATGTTAAAGCTTCTCCTCTGACTCCATTTGGTTTTGCTCAGTGGGAACCCACTAGGTAAGGTATGCTTGGCTATAGAGTGGTGGGTCAGAGCTTAATAAAACCTGGAGGGAACTAATGCCCTGGTCAAGCCTATACTCATTTATTCTCTCAATACATAGCTGAGTGATAAATGAAATTATAGGTTCCTAAAGATGAAAAATATAAGGGAAAATTATCAAATTGCCTCTGCAAGAGGGAACAAAAAGTACTAACCTTCACTGATGTCCCTTATGCTAACCTATAAGACAGCCTGGGAACCTCTCAGCAGGTGGGTCTGTCTGCCCTCCCCTAAGGCAACTCTAAATCTACCAACAGAAACTAAGCTGAACCCTTTTGCTCAGGAAGAACCTGGCTAAAACAAACTGGCTCTCTCTCACACATCCCTAGTCCTACCTTCTGCTTGGTAACATTGTTCACTCATTTCTTTCACCAGCTGTCTAAAAAGTTTCCCCTTTCCAATATTTTCTGAATTTTGAGTGCTCTAAGGACAGTGGGCTTTTCATGCCATATATATCCTTTTGTTCCTTGAGAGTGAGTTTTCAGCTGCCTGTGTCTAAATATGAGGCTCCACAGTAGCTGCAGGACACTGTGGATGATTCCTCCCCTAGAGGGGAACAGAGGGTTCGATGTGAATCTAAAACCCCAAGTAAGGGGGCATGGATCTAGCATGGGGGTGCCCAATTCAGAAGGGAAATAAAAAATAACACAACCTCTTGGAAGTAAGAGCTGGCCTAAGCTGATAGTAGTATTTCTGCCTAATAAATAGTTGAAAGCAGACCTCTATGTGAACTTTCCCAGCTCTGGTCTAAGCCGGAAGCTAGACCGTGATACCCCAGGTAACAGCTTGCTCTCTCTGAATTGGAAGATGAGGAACAGGGCCAGGGGCTGGTTTCCAAAATGCATTATCTTTTCCTCAAGGATTCAGTGTACTCCTTCTCCTTCCCTCTGCTCCTTATCCTCCCTCCTCAATCATTCACCCTGAGCTTTCCAGATACCCTAGAAAATGACTTGAAAGGGAAGTATTCCTCAGTTGCTAACAACTACCCACCCCCTAAGTTTCTACAAAGGTATCAACTATAAGATGAGAAGGGCCCCCCTTCAGAGTTCTCAGAACAGTTTTGAGCAAATCAAAACTCTTGAGCCATTAATCAGTGGTAGAAGTCATTGGTACTGCTTCAGACAAATGCCATAATGCCAGCAAGGCCCAGAGGCATCCTAACTCCAGGCTGGGGCCTCCATGCCTCTAACATCCCAGTTAATGCTCCAACTGCTGTTTAACAATTAACATGAAAGACTTGGGATGGAATAGAATGGGATGGTTCAGTGGAATGAGAAGGGAAAAATCTGAGGAAGCCAAAGGAACTCTAACTTTTGAGGTCAAAAACAGCTTCCCTGAGAGCAATATTGGGCAGCACAAGCCAAGCTGAGAGTCTTCCTTCACTATTCTGAATTCCACTTTCTTGAAACAAAGCTATGGACCTTTTTACAAACCCAGCAGCCAGAACCCCCTTCACTCACTCCAGCCTCCAACCTGCCCAGCACTGGGAACTTCATTCTGTCATCCAGGCCTCCAGAGACAAACTAGAGGGAAAGTTGGCTTGGAAGGAGTAGGCACCCAGGGATATAGACTGTGAGTCAATATTTGCAGGGCTGTTGGCAGATTAGATATATCTGTACTCAAACAATGCAATCTGATTTCCCTATCAAAACTACACTTAACATTTTTATTAACTCTAGTGGTTTTTCTATTGAGAGTCAGGTACGGCTCTCTGAGCTCACTGTGTGTGTGTGTAGATGTGTGTGTAGATGATAGATCATTATTTAACATATTTCCTGTGGGTGGGATTGCAGTACAAATGGGCTCCAAGTTTTCTGGACACATGTGGATGTGTATATCATGTTATACACATGGCCCTTTTTCCTGTGTCAAGGCACTCCTGAAGCTATTTATACCTGTAATTGTTCTGTCATTTGCAGAGATGCAAATCAGATGTACACAATGAGCTGCAAGTTCCCGAAACATCCCATCATATTTGATATAAACAGACATACAGTAGTTGAAAAAATAACCCAGTTACTATTACTCAGTTAACTTTCTATCTGATAAAATAAAAAGTGTATCCAGATACACTTTTTACAATACACCAGCCTTAAAGCATTGCAGAATAGCATGTTTACAATTAATTAACAACTTGATTTCTATCTAGGGAGCAAATTTCAGGAAAGACTCGGACCTAGGGAATACAAACCAAAATCTCAAAACTTTAAAAAAAAAAACTTGAAACTTTTTAAAAGCAATAATTCCCTAAAGAACAAAGCAAACTCATTCCTTTATACCACACTTCTTATCCTAACAGCCCCTCCCCCAAATGGGCATGTAATTTATGGATCTTTTACAAGGTAATAAACCACAGTAATTACCTCCCTGTATCCCAAACTAAGAGAACAAATTATGCCACAACTTGAAAAGAATTTTAAAGAGTTTTCTCTTATTCCAATAGGAAAGGAAAATTATGATCAGCCCCTTTGAAAGACTGGAGAGGATCTGCTACTTGTGAAGGCCTACACATTGGAAATACAGGAACTTCTCTCCTGCTATGGAGAAGCAAAAGGATCAGAGAAATTGAAAAGCACAAGGCTCTAAGGCAAGTTTCCTCAACCAAGTACTGAGACTGGCGGCAATTTCCAAAGCAGCAGACACCTCAATGGACAAGCAACTCAGCCCACGCAGCAGCCACCACACCCGCCCCGTGGCCTCTACTTGCTTTTGCTTTGCAGTTCCATGCAGTGGTTTGGGATTTGCAGGAAAAAACAAACACATCCCCTCCACCTCCTTAACCCCATCTCTGGCTTTACAACCGCTATCCTCCTGCTTTCCTCCTGCCCATTACAGGCTTTGGGGCAGACTCTTTGTCTGCCTCAAGCCCGGCATTGTTGGGCATGCAGCTGTAGGTAACCCAGCTCCAAAACTCCTCTGAAGTTAAATATTGACCAGAACCTCTTTCAACCTGCTGTAGTTGCCAGGGGCTGGGCAGAACAAACTCTTCCTAACTGCCTGGTGCAAAGTCCTGCGTGAAGAGTTCTGGCGTGAAGAGTTCTGGCGCGAAGAGTTCTGCTTACCTCCAAAGATGTTTAAATCTGGACCAGGAATTGTTTCCAGCTCCAGGCGCTCAGGGAATCGTCTTTTCCTGTGTCCAGGCACTCTGCGGACAAACAAACAGCAGAGGGTGAACGGTGGCTGCAAGGGAAGAGAGTTGGAGGACCAGAGTTGAAAATGTGGCTTGCGCGGGCGCCAGGATGGCCCTGGGGTGACGCGGATATGGAGGAGTCGCCAGGGCACTCGTCCATGCGATGGCATTCATAGCTCGAAATGTTCCAGTCTACAAATGACCCGAAGATGGTGATTTATTTTTGTAAAATAAATACATACTCCATCTCCACACCCACACTCTCTCTTTTCTTTCTTTTACAGGGGAGGAGGGAGAAAATGGGCTAGATGGCAAAGGAAGATAGGAAAGAGGTAGAAGAGGCTTTGCTGGTGGTGCCAAGTCAGCTGGGAGGGCTCCTCATGCACCACAACTTGGGGAATGTGAATGCACGCTTTATTTTCTTTTGCTAACAAAGGGAAGCCTTGTCTAGAAGCATTCAATCAGGACTCTCCCGAAACCTCACTAATAGCGTTCATTTCTGTTGGCGCGAAATCAGACTCGGGCTCAGTCCACAGACCAGAGGCAGTCTTGGGAGGTTTTGTCCTCTGGTTCATTCAAGCACTGGGCGGCCACTTCTTGGTGCTGCTGGGCTGGCAGGCCAGCTACTGCTGCTGGAAACTGGGCAAGACTAGGGCAGGCTGCCGGTCAATACTCAGTCAGGGGGCCTGCTTAGCAGTTAGGAATCAGCCAAAAAAACGCCTTGATTCTACTGTAATCTCACACCGCACAATATTTGCAACACTCTCTTGCGCTCTAACCAGGAAATCTGATCCTGGAACCCTCAGCCAACTTTCTGGGGGCAGAAGACGCTGGGAAAGGAACAGAGAATCCACTGGTGAGTTCTGCTGGGACTGTGGGGCATTATTTTTACAGCCCTAACCCTGAATCCACCAGTGCTTTACCCAGACCTAGGTAACCTCTCAGACTCTGACCTGCTGCAAAACAGCCCTCTTCTGCCTTTCCTGCATCCGTGCCAGAGGGGCTACCAGAGAGCTGCAAGTCCTCTGACTCCCGGCTGCAGAGCCCCCAGCATGCTGAACAAGGGGCAGCAAACTGACAACTGCTTCTGCCACAACTCCTCCCAGAGCCTTTAACCTCCATCCCTGCTGAGGTCTCAGAATCCACGCTGGGCCCCTTTCCCTTCTTCAAACTTGCCCTCCCTGCTGTGGAAGGGAGAGCCTCCAGCCTTGGGGCTCCTGGCACGACCCGAGCTGGGGGCGGGCGCTTAGACATTCTTCACTTGCTGCTCAGTTTCGCCCCAGAAAGATCCACTATGCCACCGTCCACCGCCACGCCACCACCATCACCACCACCACCATCACCACCACCTCGAGTCAAGCTGAGTATTGTAATTATTATGGTTATTATTATTGTCCTTATTTCCTTATTCCCAAGTCTAATATTCATGGCTGCCGTTCCCTATAAATCCTTCAGACTAATGAGTCAAAGAGAGAAAGAGAGATGTTGCCAGGTCTCTCGCTCCGCAATGGCCGCTGCCGCCGCGCCGCCGTGGCCTCTCTCCGCGTTTTTGGCGTCCGCTTGCTCCCTCGCTCGCCCAGCGCAGTTGATTTATGAAAGCCCGGAAAATTGAACAAAGCCGCGCGCCCGTCCTGTGGTATCTCTGCAGCCTTCCTCAGCGTGAATCAGAACATTACCAACTGTCTGCGCATCCGTCCCACTTCATCACCAAAGCCAGGATGTGACCACAAAAAAAAAACGAGCCCAAACTCACGTTTCCCCCGGCCACAATGCGCTCCTTGGACTCGCAGGAACGCTGCAGAAAAGCACCACGACCCAGCCAGAGCACGCCAGCTCTGGTTCTCTTCGCTAAAGGGCTCCCTCTTGCCTTCCTGAAGGAGTTAAAAGCCTTTGAAGATAAATCTGAGGGTGCGTGTATTTAAAAATCAAATAGGAAGTTGGAGTCTCACTTCTGAGAGATTCATTCCTAATGAGGCCCTGACGACTCCGATCCATTCCAGACGATCCGCATTAATTATTTAATGAGTCACGTGACCTCAAAGATTACAATTTCAATATCTCCCTCAAACAGGCATTACACCTTTATCAGCTGCAACCAGGGTCCCTGTTTGGTCTTTTTGTTCCCTAGGCCTCCTGAGCACATTCACCCTTGTGCGGATGGGGTAAGCAACCGCAAAAGAAATTACAGGGAGAACACAGCAGAATTAGTCATTCTGGGGCGAGAAGCATAGTGGACAGTAGGGAACCCACTGCTCTGCAAGGCACGTTGATATCCATCAGCTCCTGAGACCTGTGGTCAGCCACCTGACTGAGTGCCAAGTCTAGGGCAGTTTGGTTTCATAATCTCCCAGGGCAGCTTTAGTGGTACATCAGGCAAGATCTTACCCTTCTAAATCCAGGCTATACACACCTGTAGCTATGCACATCAGGGGTAAGCTCAGATATATACTGTATCCCATTCTCTTAGAGGCATGCATAGCTTCTGTTGGGAGAAAAATGACTGTGTGCTTACCATATCCAGGTCCATGGTGAGACCAAAGGCTCTTTTCAGCCTACACACTCATTAACATCAGAAACATGGGGAGGTGGACTATTTAGCTGCCTCAGTTTCCTCATATATAAACCGAGAATAGTGAACCCAAATGATTTCCAGGTCTCTTTCAACTTGGAGAGTCTTTCAGCCTGGATTCTCTATCAGTTCTAGGAGGCATATCTAGAGAGAAGGAGGCTGGCCTGAAAGGGGCAGGGTATGATCCATGAGTTTGGAACCTTCAGAAAAGATGCCAGAGTTCCCAGCCAGAAGTTGCAGACTAGGAGACAAAACACACAACTCCTCTTACTCTTCCTCCCCCCCTACTCCCCCTTCCTCTCTTTCCTTCTCCTCCTCGTCCTCCCTCATTTCCAGAGCTTGTCCTTCCGAGGTCCAAAGCAGTTACTCTTGGAGAGGTGTATTGTGGAGAATAGGTATCAGGAGCATCAAGTTAGGAAAGGTGAGCTTGAGTTCTCTAATGCAAGATGGTGCCTAGGAGTGCAGAGACCAAGGAGTTGCCAAAGATACCCTATTGCTTGCACAGAACCCACTCATTCAAGTGGGAAGCCTCGGATTTCTATTTACTTCATTTATTCTTTGGGGATTTTTCTGTACTGGCACTATTTCTGTACTGGCACTGCTAGAAGGAAGGCAGCAGTGAGAAGAGCAGCAGCTTGGAAGTTTGTGGGGGAACTGGAGGCTCAGGAGATATGGTGATTCCCATCCCTTGGGGAAAGAGTGAGAAGCAGGGGGGAATGGGGTACCCTGGAACAGCTGGATATAAAGACAGATACTGTGCAGAAGGCCTACCCCCATATATCTAGGTAATCTTCTCATAAGCTCCATCCTGGGTATTAAGTACTCTACTATGCCTGTCACAGTTGAATTCCTGCTGTAATAAAACACCGGGTATATCGTAGATTTCAGCAAAACTAGGGAAGAAAGCCTGCAAAGTGCCATTTTTCTTCAAGGGGGAGTGTGTTAAGTACTTAATTCAAACTGTGACCATTAAAGTGTCTCCTATCCGATTTAGGTTGATTTCAGATGTTGACAAAACTTTTATCTCCAGAGTCATGCACAGCTTGGCTCTGTGACTAAAGCAGATGAGTGTGTCTTAAAGAGAGGGAGGGAAAAAGAGGGAGAGAGCAGGAGACCATGTGTAAGGGTCATCTTAGTAGGAGAAATATAGAGCTTACACAAAATACTGTCTTTAAAGGTCAAGGGTTTGAGGGGTTAGTAAGGTTTGCCTTAAAAAAAACCTAATGAGATAGAAAATTTGTCCTCTCAGTGAACTCTTACGGTTGCCCTAGCGAAGGGCAGACAATGCACGATTTTGAAGCACAAAGTGAGATTTCCTAAGCTGTTATTACAAGCTCCCTTAAAGGCAAAATCTGAAACAGACAAAATATTGTGAAAAAATGACATAATGATTTGGATCGCTTTTGATAATTTTGGTTTATAAACTTCACCAATATCTTGACAATACATTTTGAATAAAAATGGCATTTTATTCTAGAATATCACAAAAATGGTCTTGATGCTCTCTTCCTTTTCTGGATAGACTATAAGAGCAAGAGAAAGAAATCACCCCCTTTACCTTTATACTACTGCCTCCAGCACGAAGCTAATGAATATCCCCATACCCTTCCTTCCCCACAAAGGAGAAATATAAGAATTTACCTTAAATGATGATAATCTGCCATTTGAGGTATTGCAGTTTGACACTCAATTTCCACCAAGAGTCTAGGTATTTGTATTTTCAGCCGATAGCCAAGATGCTATGCCTTTGCCTGAGACATTATTTGCAAGAAGATCCCTCTCTCCTTCACAGACTTTTCCCAGAGAATGCCTTTCAGAATTGCTGTTGAATTACAAAGAAGTATTTATTGTACGAGGTGATTAATGATTCCTGGGAAAATTGCTATTTTCAGCATGATTTAATTTCGTTTTACAAGTGCGTGTATAGGGGGAGGGTTAATAAGTTTCAGCAGCACTTGCATTGCCTCCAGAAATGCCTGGCACCCGTTCACACCTTATAAAATGCACTTTATGCCAGATTTTTCCCGATTTGAGGGTGTGTGTGTGTGTGTGTGTGTGTGTGTGTGTATTTTTTCTCCCCTGGATTTTCTTGGCCCCTTGCACTGGCACCCATCACTTCTCTCACAAATCTGGTTGTAGGTAGAGAAGGGGCCACCCTTGCTTATATCACATGCAGTGCAGCAGGAATGAAAGGGATACCAGCAGTGATACTGGCTAAGCATTTTACCATGCTGGAAAAATGGGTTTTAAATTCCTGATATTGCAGAGATAAGTGAACACACCCTCTCACTTCCATTAAAATTACTACTGACCTAAAAAAAATGCACTTTTGATTGACAATTCTAATATCCTAGAGTTAGTGTATTTTTTTTCTGCATCATGTTGCAGTGCATTCTCTGCCTTAACCACCAAGTTTAAGTCAGTATAAATATACTAGGGTTATAGTAATTGAGAACTGAGTTATTTTTAATCATGTGGCTCTAGATTTCCAGAAGTAAGATTCCAAAGCATTTAAGAAAAGTGACCATAATTCAGAGTTTGGCTTTCTTCCAACAGTAAACTTCCAGGTCTACTTTGCTTGAGGTATGTTTTGGGTGTCATTGTACTTTTTATTTCCTTAAAAGATATTTTGGAGGATGTACTATAAAAATATATTTTACTTAGAAAGTTCTTTTTTCAAAAAAAAGAGAAATAAGCAAACACACAAAACTTTCCAAGCTGTACTTAATGAAGAGGCCCTCAAGATCAGCCAAGAAACAAAAAGCAATCTCAACCCTTTGCACAAACTATTTTTTATCTCCAGGGAAACAGGCAGATTAATAAGTGTGAAGGTGCAACAAATACCAAAGGGACCACTTCTTTCCAAGTGTGCTCAGAGTTCAGTGTGCTGAGCAGCTGCAGAAACTCCTGGGCTCACTGCACTATATGGTTTCACCTTTCACTGCAGGGAAGGACACGTTCCTATGACTTACAGAGACTTGAAGCCTGAAAGCCTGGCCAAGTTTGGGGAGAAGAGGAGCCCTCTCAGAGCTCAAGAGCTTTCTTGCTCTTTGGAACATTTCCACAACGGGTCAAGCTCGAGGAGAGTTCAGCTCAAGTTGAACACACACACTCTCTCTCTCACAAATTACATGAGCAGTCAGAATCCATGTGAACACAGCTCAACCATTTACAAGGTTTTTTTTTTTTACATACAAGGTCAAGCACCTCAATCCACAGGATTTTGGTGTTTTAGTTTTTTGAAGATTTTGGTTTTTTAATGAAAAGCTTAGGAAACACACAAATGTCTCTTAGGTTTTAAATATTTTTTTAAAATGAAGTTTATTCTTAGCTCATGGCTTTCTATACAGCCATATCACAATTTGTACAGTTGCACATGTGTCGAAATGCATCCCCCTCTTCCCAAAGGTAGATCCCCAGAATAAGACAACAGTATCTCAATGACAATATCTTAAATAAATGCAAGAAAGGGAAACTAACAGTCACACATACCATCAAGAGCTACACACTTTGAGAATTAAATAATCTTGTGAGGTCCACAGTATCTACTCATTTATTCAGTCCATTACAACCTTGTATGAGCTGCCTTAATGGATGAGGGAAAGGTAAAGAAGGTGAGAAAGGGTCTGTTTTATTCTGCTTGCGCAAATATACACTTCCCCAGTCAGCATGCACTGTCAGCTGACTTTAGACAACTCAAATGTATTTGATGCCAAGTAGTCCTTCCCAGGTATCCAAACTTGGCAGCCTACTTCAGGCCTGCAGATTGTTCCACCAAACAGCATCCTGAACAATTGTCCTCTCTTGGGTGGCAACCAGCTCATGCTCTTACCGGGGATAATCTCTTCCTTTTGGTTATCTTTTCACCAAGCTAGGTTTTATTTTGGTGTCTGTTACAGTGGAGAGGAGGGGGAGGAGTAAGTGGCGAAATGGGTAGGAGAAGAGAAAAGCAGATAAGGGATGGAAACTGAACTAGGTGTCTAGAAGATTATATGGAGGAAGGGATGGGGGTGGAGGCGCCAGGGAGGGAGTGGGGATGGGGTTGCGGGCTCTGAGTTTGTGCTTTCCCTGGTGGGCCTGAAGAGGCCTGGGTGGAGGCTGGGTTGGAGGATCGCATCTTGGTGTTGGGTAGTTTGTGATCTTTCTTCCACTTCATTCTCCGGTTCTGAAACCAGATCTTGACCTGGCGTTCAGACAGGCAGAGCGTGTGGGCGATCTCAATGCGGCGCCGCCGGGTCAGGTAGCGGTTAAAATGGAACTCCTTCTCCAGCTCCAAGACCTGCTGCCGGGTGTAGGCGGTTCGAGAGCGCTTGGGCTCCCCTCCGTTATAACTGGGGTTCACTGAGCGCCCAGAACCCCGAAGGAGAGGGCCGAGGAGGAGGGAGTGGAACAGAGGGAAAGGAGGAGGAGAGAGAAGATAGGGTGGGGAAGAGCAATTGGACATCATCATTATATAATAAGCTGACACCAAGTTCACGCAAGATACATAAAACCGCAAAGAAAATGTTTCACAGGCTATTGACAACGGGAAACACCCGAGAGCCATAAAGAATGGTCCTGGGCATTGGGGCTGAAGAAAAGCTTCAAAGACACATGGCCTGAAGCCTCTGCCAGGGCAATTAAATTTATGGGGGCTATAATTACTGCCCTAACAGTTTGGCGTCTCGTAAATCTCCCGATAAAGGGACCATGGGTACAAGAGGGTTCTCAAGTTGGGATCAGGCTGCTGGCTGGCGCGCAGGCACCCGCACCCCACGGCATCCCGGGCCAGATGGGGGGCTCCCCTCCCGAGGCCCCCTTCCCGACCCCCGCCCTGACCCTGAACCCGGGCCTGGCCCCGGCCCACCCTCCCGCGCCTCCCGGGCGGCGCCACGTACCGGCGCTGACATGGATCTTCTTCATCCAGGGGTACACCACGGGCTCCTTGCCCTTCAGGCCCGGCGGGCTCTTGTCCGCCAGCAGCAGCGGGCACGCGGGGGCGCTGCCCCCTGCCGGGACGCCCGGGGTGGCCGGGGCGGCCTC